GTGTAAATGACTCCCACCATGATTTTTGATTTTTATTTTATGGAGATATAACTCCAACAACAGTTTGATGGCTAGGATGCCGGGCAGTAGGATGAAGACAAATGGGAAACTGCCTAGGGTCATGAAGAAGGTGGAGGCACTGAGACCCTAATTTCATAAAGAACACCTTAGGAAATGTCCAGCACCATGGTTTCTCATCTTCACAACCCAGGACCCACAAGCCCCACGTTCTGACAGATTTTGTTTATCAGACAAATTGCACTCAGTCATGCTTCATTCATTTTCCTCAGAAAGTTCCTAGGTTATATAGAATTGGTATAATCTTCCCACTCCCCATCAGCCCCACAAAGACACTCCATGTTTCTGTTTGCAACAGTCTTATACAGATCAATATTAGATTTTCATGGTGCTCTTTGCATTTTGCAACTATTGCTCAAGCTGGAGACCCAAAAAGAGCACCAGTGTTAGAGTCAAGGACCCCTGGGTTCCAGTTTCAGCTGAGTGACTGAGAGTACATCACTAGCCCACTCTGATCCTATATCCCAGATGTATAATCACCTATGTTCCATCAATTGCAAAGTTGGAGAGAAAAGTGCCCACTCTGCCCAGTACACAGTAGGAGCTTAGTAAACTTAAGTTCTCTTGCTTCCCCACTATCCTAATGTATTAGGGGAAAGACAGAGACGTGGAATGGCACCTGGAAGGCTCCAGCTGTATGCTTCACAATCCTACAGTGAAAATTCTGAATCAGGCCTTCCCTCTACAAAATGTGACAGGACAGGAGTGGATAGGAAGAAGAAGAGCTTGGCTTTGTCGGTTTAAGCTGGACCTATCTGATTCTGTAATGTGGGCTTCACTGCCGGGTCTAGCTCACTCCCCAGCCTGGGCTTTGCGAGCTCTGAATGTCTTTTGGCCAAGTCCAAGGCTATCCAGCGTCAGCTATCCAGGGCAGGGTGGTGGATAGTGGGATGGGGAGGAGCAGTTCTCTCATATAACCTGCAGGTGGCACTAGAGAAGCGCGGGAGTCGACAGTTCCGTTCCAGCCTTCCAGGAGACTGGGGCAGGGCGGGGTAGGGTGTGGCAGAGATGGTGCATCCCCCTCAGCTGGGCAGTGGCACGAGCGTGGCTGCGGCTCAGTACACACAGTTTGAAATCGACACATGGGACTTCTGGCTAATTTCCTCTCTTTGGTAGGATGATCATACGCTTTATCATCCAAATCCAGACACTTCGGAGAGTGAAAGGGGCACTACTATAATTGCACCAGGACAGCAGACATAATCTTAGCTGTACCTTGCAAACCAGAACATATGGTCAACCTACCCTCTGGTCACTTTTTCTTCCTTGTTTCCATTCTTCCTATTCTTTTTCTTTTAAAATACACAACATTCTCTTTCCCCGAGCACCACTGTCTTTGAAAATGCCCTTGCGATCAGGATATTTTCTACCACACAACATCTGCTTTCACTTCTTGAGTCTGAACAGGCTCTCTGAAGCCACCCCAAAGGCTGGTTTTAACTTTCAGTTAGAAGACTCTGTTCCCTGGCTTACCATCCCCATGACTCAATAATTAAAAGTATCAGACGTGAAACAGTGACCCTTATCTCAACTTTGGTGCCTCTTTGCTAAATATATTTCTGTAATTTTTTCTTTGTCTCACTCTGTCGCCCAGGCTGCAGTGCGGTGGCGCAATCTCGGCTCACTGCAATCTCTGCCTCCCAGGTTCAAGTGATTATGCTGCATCAGCCTCCCAAGTAGCTGGTTATAGGCACCCATCACCACACCAGACTAGTTTTTGTATTTTTAGTAGAGATGGGGTTTTACCACTTTGGCCAGTCTGGTCAGAAACTCCTGATCTCAGGTGATCCGCCCGCCTCAGCCTCCCAAAGTGCTGGGATTACAGGCATGAACCACCGCACCAGGTCCTATTTCTGTAATTTTGTTCTGGGTGCTCATGTCCTTTATCTCTTTGAGTTTGGGTATATTGGTTTATTGATTTCAAGTAGACAAGTCCCATTAAGCAGGATTCTTATATTTCCAAGAATATCCCATTACTCCATTCAACCCCAAATTAGCATGCCATTTATCCCCTTATTCCTGAACCCTCTTCACTTAATAGTCTCATAAGCATCTATCCATTGCAAAAGGAATTTTTCTCACTTCCATTTTTAGTTGATTGATTGCTATCCAAGTAATGATTTGTCTGGGGGAAGTCATTAGCAGAGAACTCTGCCCTTATTTTTATAGTTGGATTCTGCTAGTTAATATCTCTTTCTCTGCCATTCTCACATTGCAACAAACGACTATGGGTTTCTGTCTTAACCTAAAATCTAGGTTAGAAATTTGATTGTATGTGAATAAGATATTAATAGATAATATGAGAAGAAAATTTAATTTACTGAAACTTTTCTCAGCTGGGAATGACACTCATGGCCACCAATATGTATGTTAGCAAGCAGAAAACTGGGTTGTAAATATATAAACTCTTAAAATACTATGTTTAGAGACAAGGTTTTTCTTTTTCCTTTCTTTTTACTAATGTGTATTTGCTATGGTTGGAATATTTGTATCTCCTCCAAAATTCATGCCGGAACTTAAACCCCAATGTGATAGTATTAAGAAGTGGAGTCTTTCGGAGATGATTAAGTCATGAAGGAAGAGCCCCCTCATGAATGGGATTAGTGACCTTATGAAAGGGAGCTACCTAGCTCAGTTTTTTGTTGTTGTTTTCCTGTCCTTTTCACCTGGTTAGGACACAGTGTTTGTCGCCTCTGGCAGACTCGCCATTCAAGGTGCCATCTTGGAAGCAGAGAGAAGCCCTCACTAGACTACAAACATGCTGGCACCTTGATCTTGGACTTCCCAGCCACCAGAACTGTGAGAAATACATTTTTGTTCTTTACCCACTACCCAGTCTCACATATTTTGTTATAGCCACACAAATGGACTAAGACAGTATCTCACATACAGTGAGGTACATATACCTTAAGCTACAACTCCGTACAACTCTGTCACCAGGCTAGAGTGCAGTGGTGCCATCTCAGCTCACTGCAACCTCCTTCTGGGTTCAAGTGATTTTCCTGCCTCTGCCTCCCGAGTAGCTGGAATTGCAGGTGCCCACCACCACACCTGGCTAATTTTTGTGCTAGTAGAGATGGGGTTTCACCATGTTGGCCAGGCTGGTCTTGAACTCCTGACCTCAAGTGATCTGACCACCTTGGCTTCCCAAAGTGCTGGATTGCAGGTGTGAGCCCCCGTGCCTGGCCAACTCCATGCTATTTGCATATGTGCATATTTATTTAACCTTCACTCAGCTCAAGATACAGAATGCTTCCATCACCACAGAGGGCTCCCTAGTGCCCCTTCTCAGTTGCTGTCCTCCTCAAAGTTAACCACAATACTGACCTCTGTCACCACTGATTAGTTTTGTCTGTTCTTGAACATCAGTAATCATACAGTATGTGCATGTTTGTGGTTGGCTTCTTTCATTTAACACAATCCTGTGAGAATTAGCCATGTTTTCGGTACTGGTAGTTGTTTATTTTTCTGGTTGTGTAGTTTTCCACCTTTCATTTATTACCCTTCTATTTTTATGTCTAACTCAGTGTCTTGTGGGGTCTACTGGTCCTTTTTAGCTAGATTGGTATTAAACATCTTATCAGTGGAGCTTCGGAAATCTTCAGAAGAAGAAAGCATAATAACCCAAGCTCCCCAGTCTTAAGTCAAGTTTCCTTCTCACACCTGCTTCAGTTGCTCTTTTTTGTGTGGTGTTTTTTTTCCCTCTCAAAGCTGATGGAAATTAAGAAACCCAAAAGCTCTTCATCATGTTATCAGCTTAGGGATGCTTGTCATCTGAATAACAGGGTAGATATTTATAATCTGAAATGTTAAAATAATAGCAAACACTTACATAGCACTAACTGCTGTTCAAAGTGCCTTACATATATTATTTATCTCAACACAGCTCTGTGAAATACACACTATTATTGTCATCCCCACATTTTAGATAGGGAAATTGAGACACAGAGAGAGACCACGTAACTTTCCCAAGGTGGTAGAGCCAGGACTTGAATCTGTGTTTTCTTTTTTTGGAGCCTGCACACTTCACCACCACACCATATAGTGTAATACGATACTTCATGTGGTTAAAGTATTTTCTTCTATTAGCTTGGCAGCATTTTCTGAATAATTTGAATCCTATACATTTGCTTCAAAGAGTACAAGTGAACTGAAATAGAAGATCTCACATAGAATGTGTGGCATTCACAAATATAGGACTCTCTGGTCTAAATAATAATAATTTGCTTATCTTGTGACTTTTGTCAGGCAGGGCTATAATGCACTGGCCTTATTTTCCTTCCCTTCAATAGGAGGAGATGGGCTGAGAGACGGGCACAATTTATTATAAAATTTCACCACACTTTCCCTCATCATCTGGAAGCTGGAGGTAGGTTTGTGAAATCTTGCTTGAGAAAGAGTTGAATGCCACTTGTAGCATAGTAAGTTTTGAAAAGATGGTTTTACTCTCCAATTCTGTTGCACAGGGCCCTGTGAGTTTTGGTAATTAACATATGTGACCAACAGTTTTCTCACAAAGATTATCAGGGTTCTAGAGGAAGTGATCTTCCAGTTGTATTGTGCTGCTAAAGTGCTATATTTCTTTATAGATGAACTAATTAATTCTTGGTCACCTGTTTTTCTTTAGACATTTCTCTGCCTCTTTATGTTATGCTTTATGTCTCTTTATGCCCAGCCCCAGGTTTTTCCTTCGAACTGCAAGAAAAAGATCATTGAAATTTTCTCTTTCTCAAACTCCTGGGTTCAAGTGATCCTCCCCTGTCTGTCTCCTGAGTAGCTGGCATTACAGGTGTGCACCACTGTACACACACATACATACACAAATATGCATATAGACACAGATATCCACATGTGCACAAAGAGACATACAAATATCTACACATACTTATTATACATTTATAAACACCAGCACACGCACATACACACACATATACACATCTTGTTTCCATCTTCTTCTCAGGACTCAGGGCTCTCAGAGAGGGGAAAGAGTATTGTACCATGAGTCAAGGATCAACTCTGCAACCTTACCCAAGTGTCTTTCTTTTGAGATCTTGTTTATAATCATAAACATCCTTTCCCACCAATTAGGGTTATTTTGAAGATAAAACAGAAAAAAAATAACAGAATGATGGCATGTTATATAGTAAATAATAATAATAATAACCTTGACCAAAAAGAGGTCTTGCCTTTGTCCTAGACTCCTGGGAGGTAACTGTCAACATGTAAGAGCTGATAGAAATATTTTTTCTTGGAGATCTCAGATCATGATGGATAGTCTAATAATAAGATTTAGGTTGGGGACTAGCCAGGCCAGGAAAACTGACTATAGGATCGACTTACGACCTATGCAACTTACGACCATTCAACTTCACGATCACAATCGCTAGCCACGACTGCTCCGCGTCTGGCAGCGCAAACGTTGCCCAGCTGGGCGTACGACAGTGTGGACCAGCTTCCGGCAGCACTACCATCTCCGCGTGCACCATTTCAACTGTTATCCTGGACTCGGTACAGCAATTTGTGTTTTGTGTCTTGAATATTTTTCATCAAACCCCTCCCAATAAACTTCTTATATATTTCGAAGCAATGGACCCAAACATCGAACGATTTGCAAGGATTGAACGGATGGCGCACAATGTGTTTCGTCCATATCGTGAAATTTATGAAGAAAAAAGAAACATACAATTCAGACAAAGCTCACCATGTTTATGAAAAAACCAACTCCGGTAACCCCAACTATTGCCTCAGATGACAACATCAATGATCCGCAGCCAAGCACCAGCGGCCAATAAAATGTTTCGTACATGTTTATATATTTTGATATGTTTTGCAATTGGGAAAATGTTTCCTATGGTATTTTTTACACTTGTATTTTGTATCTTTGTATGCACCTGTATTTTGTAATTTTGTATGTTTTGCAAATATTAAACCAGTTGTACTGATAATGCAGTGTTTTACTTAAACCTGACGAATGTAAAAATAAGAAACAAAATGGTGTAGAGATGATACAAATGGCATAAAATGAACAAAAAAATTAGCATATATAACAATAATGAAAGAAAATTATGATAAAATATGACTTAAAGATTTTTATAACATCATTTCACAGTACTGTACATATAGCCTACTCAACTTACGACAAAATCGTGTTACGACCGGTCTGTTGGAACCAATCGTGGTCGTAAGTCGAGCACTAGCTGTATGTGATTTAGAGTCCGGGCTTTAGGGCACCCATGGAAAGACTCGAGACTGGAAACTGAGAGGATCCACGTGGACAATCAAGCATGTCTCTGTGATGAAGTTCCAGTAAAAACCTTGAATACTGAAGCTTGAGGGAGCCTCACTGGCTGGGAACACTCCATGTGTATTGACACATATCAAAGCCAGGAAGGTAATGCACTCTGAATGCTTGGGGAAGGGATAATGGACACTCCTTGCCTGGTACCCTCCTGGACTCAGCCCTATGCCTTTCTTCCCCTGGCTGATTTGAACCTGTATCATTTCCATGTAATCAAACCATAATTCTAACAGCTTTCTGTGAGTTCTAGCCAGTTCTTAGGGGAAAGCAAGCAGAGCTGATCTACTGCTTGCTTGAAAAACTATTTTAAAATCCCTAAAACAAAGAAGGCCAGAGCTCTCATGAATCTGACCCAACAGATTTCAAAGCCAAAGCTGAGGGCATTTAAAGCCAAAGCCAGACCAGACAGAGATTAGGCTCCTGCGAGGGAAAAGGTGCAGTCCTGCTCAGGCTGCAGTGTCCCAGGGCTACAGCTGAACAAGGGCTGCCTCTGGGTCACAGCCTCTAGGGACAGGAGTTTGGTACAGGTCAGCTCTCTGATTTGTAGGACTCTGGTGATGAGCTCAGCTGGGAAACTGTGTGGTAATGGGAAGAGAATGGTTTTGCTCTTCCAAATCATCCCCACCTGCATGTTTTGATCCACATTGGAACTCAGTGTGGAAACTGCCTTTGAACAGCCTAAGCCTGAAATCTGGGCCATGTGTCCAGGTTTCTGGCCTCCAGCTTTGTTCATGCCTTACCCCTACCCATTACTGATGCCAGGTCCATCCTGCCAAATATCCTTTTCATCATGTTACCCTCCCCTCCACCTCATGGCACCTTCTACACAACAGAAAATGTCTCCAACCTCAGCCTGGCATTCAAGGTTCTTTCTGATGTGGCTCACCTATCACCACTCCATATCTCCCCATTGGCCCTGCCAAATTGGATCAATTTTTTCTATCCATGAGCTGAACTTTCCCACCTCCAACTGTTGTTTACACTGTGTCCTTCCTCTGAATGCTCTCTTCCTTCCTCTCCCCAAATCCAAATGCTATAGACTGAACTGTGTCTCCCCAAAATTCATACGTTGGAGCCCTAACACCTATGCAACTCTATTTGGAAATAGGGGTCTTAAGAGGTAAAGTTAAGTGAGGGAGGAGGGGCAGAGCAAAATGGCTGAATAGTAGTCTCTACCAATCATTCTCCCTGCAGGAAAATTAAATTTAGTGACTGTCTACACCAGAAAACCATCTTCATAAGAACCAAAGATCAGGTGAGGACTCACAGTACCTGGCCTTAACATCATACTGCTGAAAGAGGCACTGATGAAGGTAGGAAAGACAGTCTTGAAACACCAATGTCACCCCTCCCCCACCACCCAGCAGTGGCTGCTGTGGTGCTAAGAGGGAATCTGTGCACTTGGGGAAGAGAGAATGCAGTAACTATGACGTTGCATTGAACTCAGTGCTGCCCTGTCACAGCAGAAAGCAAAACCAGGTGGAACTCAGGTGCCACCTGCCCATGGAGGGAGCATTTAGACCAGTTCTACCTAGAGGGTTTCACCCATCTCAGTAGTTATGTAGCAGGACAAGCTGCAGAGGAAACCTCCTGGACAGCAGATTTAAAAAAGGAAGTGGTTTTATTTGGCCAGGAGCATAGGCAGACTTGAGTCTCAAGGACCGAGCTCCCCAACAAAAAAAAATCCTAGCCCTTTTAAAGGCTTACAATTCTAGAAAGTACTTATGAGAGGGTTGTGATCAATGAAGTAGGTGTGGGGTACATGAACAGGTGGGGGGGTTGAGCAAGACTGAGCAAGAACAAAGGAGGGTGTTTCTCCATATTCTGCCTGGGATCTGTAGATAGGAGTGCAATTAAGGGTGGGGGGTTTAATATTTAAGCTCCAGGTCTGGTCAGTGGGGGCCAGCCAACTTTGCCACTGACCTCTTGCCTGCTATGTCTCAACTTTTATTTCCTCACCCTCTGAGACTGAGAGAGGAGACCCCCTCCCCTCCTCTCACTTCCCGGCCTCCACCTCCTCCAGCCCTCCTGATGGGATGGAGGGTGAAAAAGAAAAAAAATACCAAAGAGTTGGGAAGATGATCCCTTTTTAGTTCCCAACATCTCTGCTATCTGTAAGCCTTGAAAGAGCTGCAAATGAATGTTATCCCTACCAGGTGGAGCCCGGCACTGGGTCACGCCCCCACATCTGCACTGCCCAGGCTCCCTCCTGTAAACACCTCTGCCAACTAACAATTTATTGCCTTGTCTTGTTTCTGTAAGGCCCCTCCTCTGCCTATTCCCGCTCATGCTGCATATGAATTACCAAATCAATGAAGCCAAAAGATTGTAAGATCAGCCAATGTCCAGCCAATGGACAATGACATAGTTTCACCTCAGTTTCCCCTTTAGCACTGTAAGCCTATAAAAGGGGAGAGAAGCTGCTTCCCGGGGAGCTCAGTGAATGAGACTGTAGCTTCCCCTAGCTCCTGGTCAAATAAAAAGCCACTTCCTTCCTCAGTTCTAAACCTCGAGAGGTTTGCTTCTCGCCGCTCCTACTTCAAGACAAGAGACAGGAAAGAGGAGTTGTAGCAGGACACGCCACAGACAAAAACCTCTCAGACACCAGGTTTATGAATGAAGTGGCTTTTTAGTCGGCCAGGAGTCTCAGCAGACTCACGTCTCAAGAAACGAGCTTCCCAACTAGAAAAGCCTGAACTTGGGCGGGGTGCGGTGGCTCACGCCTGTAATCCCAGCACTTTGGGAGGCTGAGGCAGGTGGATCACGAGGTCAAGAGATCGAGACCATCGTGGTCAACATGGTGAAACCCCGTCTCTACTAAAAATACAAAAAATTAGCTGGGCATGGTGGCGCCTGCCTGTAATCCCAGCTACTCAGGAGGCTGAGGCAGGAGAATTGCCTGAACCCAGGAGGTGGAGGTTGCGGTGAGCCGAGATCGCGCCACTGCACTCCAGCCTGGGTAACAAGAGCGAAACTCCATCTCAAAAAAAATAAAGAAAATCCTGACCTCTTTTAAAGGCTCACAATCTTAGAGGGTACATGTGAGAGGATTGTGATCAATTAATTAAGCAAGGGGTAGGTGACTTAGGTGGAGTCTGAACATGATTAGGCAAGAATAATGCCTTCCAGGGAAGATTTCTCCATACCATGCCTGCAATCTATAGACAGGATAGAAACTACAGTAGGGTGTTTAATCTTTAACCTCCAGGTCCAGCTAGTGGCACTGGTTTTGTCTCCTCCATTGACCTTGTGCCTTCTATTTTCAACTTTTACTTCTTTTGAAACACAATGTAGAAGGCTAAGGGAAAACAGTCTTAGAAGCTTAAGAGGAAAGGGTCTCCTTCCTCGAGTCTCTTCCCTAAGTTTAGGTGGTTTGAGACTTGAGTTTTGACAAGTCTTGGCATGGCAGGTGTTAAAACTTAAAATGCACTCTGAATAAAGGGACCCTCCCAAACAGGCTTTGTTTGAGCAACATGGCTGTTTATTCACCCAGGTGCTGGTGGACTGAAGCCGAAAAGGGCATCAGCGAAGGGTGGTGGGATAGGAGTTGGTTTTATAAGTTGTAGGGAAGGCAGTGGAAAGTTAACAAAACTTATTTTACAGTGGCTTTTTGCAAGCTGGGAGGGGGTCGTAGGGTGTAAGGTCACTTACAATGTCCAATGGCCTTGTCAGTTGAGGGCAGAATAAGATTATAAGAATGTCTCAGGTTAGTTAGGGGCTGCAGGGGTTGATTGTTTCTTCCAGGAACTCATCTAGGGTGTGTGCAGGTCACAGAGATTACCATGCCACATGGTGCCATCAGACCTTACAGCAGGCTATTATGCTCTGGGGCCCTAAATAAACTTGAAAGGCAGTCTAGATCATAAGGACTTCAACTCCTAGGCAAGTCCTAATGCCATGCTTGGCTCAGGACCAGTGGACTCGGGGCACACGACCTAATGAGACACCAGCCAAGGCAACCAAGCTTGTACCACCCCTCCTCCAATCCAGGCAGTGCACACTAAAGCAACAAAAGGGACTTCT